ACTGGCATTAAAGCTGTGAGCGAGTGATTTGGCTACTGCATCAGTTAGTTTGCCTCTGGAGCCCTCCTTCCTGAGTGAAGAGAAAAATATGTGAGCCAGAGGCTTAAAAGCTGTGAGCTAGCTCACACTAACTCAGCTTAGAGGGAACACTCCTGGTAACTGGAATATGAATAGCTACATATTTTGTACTTCATCTATTACCAAACAGCTTTCCTTTTTGGCACTCTGGTACTAGGTCGTCACTGATGTGCTTGTTGTTGCTTTTCTCTCAACAAACCAGTTACTGAAAATAGATAAAATTGTGTTGAACTTCTATCCTTTTTACCTGACGTGGGTGGTTTGCTTGTTTTCCCCCACATGTGCCATCAGATAGGCTCGCCCGCTCTGAGTTGGCAATACCTTGGAGAATTTGGGGGTGGAGCCTGGGTGGTGGGTTTAGATTCAGAGGAATTAGCTGTGTTAGTCTGTTGCTGCAAAATAGTCCAAGAGTTCAAATAGCACCTTTAAGACTAACAAATAGCACCTTTAAGACTAGCCTTTAAGACTAAGACTGAGTGGTGGGTGTGGCCTTATGACACACTTCCGGTGATGCCAGGGGGGGTGGCATATGCTAATGAGTTATGGCATTTTGAACACACACACAGATTGGTTGATTTTCAGTTTTGCATCACAGTTTGTGGGATGAAATGACGTCTGGTTTTCCTGTGCTGTCTGCATTTCTGTGTCACAGTAAAATGGATCATGATCAAGTCACAAAGTGTTCAGTCAAGCTCCATGAGAGGAGGAGACAGATGGGAAAAATCAGGTAAGCTCATGAGTGAAGAAACCAGCTGTGTCAGTTTACAACGCTAACAAGCCTCCATTTACTTAGATCATGCAAAGGGAGCTTTGACTCTCGAAAGCATATAGCCCAAAAGTCTTGTTGGTCCCTGAGGTACTACTGGATTTGAATAATTGGAATTCGTTATGACATCTGAATGCATCTTCTGTTGCTAAGGATACCAGCCTCCTGGTGGGAACTGGGAATCCCCCAGAAGTACTGCTCATCTCCAGACTACAGAGAGCAGTTCCCTTGGAGAAAATGGATACTTTTGGATGGTGGACTCTATGGCATTGTACCTCACTGAGGTCCCTGTCCTCCCCAGACTCCACCCCAAACCTCAGGAGTTTGCCAACCTGGAGCTGGCCACCCTACCCCCCCACACACACCTATGGTCCGGGGGGACCTGGTAACCCTATTCGTTAACTCACCACAAATCTGAATTCCAAACTGGGATTAAAGCTGCTTTAGAATCCCAGTTTTTGAGAAGAACTGAACTTCAGTTTCCACAGATACTTGCAATTGGACATCATGGAAAAATAGAATTTGAATGAAGGCTTCTGAAATCAGAAACATTTCAGTCATGCATTGTGAGTAAGGAGAGAGAGGTCTTGTGAGCATGACACTAAGTCATGCTCATGTTCATCACAAACAAAGCTGTTAATATCTGTTAATTAGTTCATCATGACAATCTATGCTCATGTGTTTCCTATGGAAAACCAGTTAAAGAATACAGGTATCCCTATATGCTTGGGGACAGAGTTAGGAAGAAAGATTTATTTTTGTCTTTGTATGCCCTGACATTTGCTTTGCCTTAGTCAGGGGGTTCTCAGTACAATTATTTTTGCCTTTTACTTCAGAGTTCAATATGTTCTGCTTTGTACTAATGCCATTTTCAAAAGTGTATTGCATAGGTCATTTTGTGAAATAGTGTTAAGAAAAGTCCTGTTGGAATTGCACAGACTTGCATTATTGGTTTCTTCCATTGCTGAAATCTTTGTTTTTTAAATGCATGCCCCCAATGCTGGTATTCATTTTATATTTTAATTAGGTACATAGGAGACTTCTAGAAGCCAAAATAATTAGGACTTAGGGCGCTGTGGTACCACACATAAGGTACTGAGATGTAACTGTTCTCCAGTGCCACGTCAGCAGTGATCATGGCCAAGCTGTTATCTCACCACCATAGTTCTCCGTCTGTAAAATGGGAATAGTAATGACTTGCCTCATATAAGTATTTAGAGATTTTAAAGTACTTTCAACAACAGAAGGGCTACATCAATTTAAAATTAATGGCTGCTTTTTCCATTTAAAAAGAAATGTTACCAAGCTGAATTTTTTACTTAGTATGCTGGGCATCCCATATACCAGTGCAACCAATTTTTTTTAAATTAATAGCACAGATGGATATAGCCACTATAGCAAGGAATTGGCTGCACTTTAATATTCTGCACTTAGCTGCATCATCTGGTGTCTGAGAAACGCTCTTAAACTCCTCAACTGACTGATGGATGCCTTTGTAAAGGGTTGGATGGTCACTTTATGCAGAATGATAATCTTGCTGCTGTACATAATGAGGTCAGTGAAGCAGTGAGCAAGGAAATATACATTTCTGTAGCATGGGTCTGTAAGCACAGCACTGTCTAGGCTATTTAAGTTTAATGAGGCAGCAACTGTGCTGCTGCATACTCTTGTTGAACAGTCTCAGCATGTATTTCAAAACGAAAATGTGGCTCATAATCCATGTCCCTGTGCACTCTCCTTTGAGAGACTGTGGCTCCTGTTCTCATAAGTCTGCATTCTTCTGCATCTCATTGTGTGCTAATGGTACTGGAGTTAGTCATTTGCTTCATTTTCATTGTAAATGAGGATCAGAACACTATTCCTTTTCTTTTTCTCTGAACATTGGAACTACTGTAAAGTAATGCATAGGCAGCATGCACTGCGCTGTAGAGAACATACTCTCTGCAAAGTAGTTGAAACAATTCCTACAATGAGAGTTGAATTTTTGGGCATTTATTTCTATTCTTACAAATTTTCCATTTATTTATTTATGACATGATAATATAGCATCCCTCATACCATTTTGCTTGGTTCAAATATTCTTTCCTGCCATTGATAGCTGTTTAACAAGCTTCAGTAAATACAGCTGTGTGGTTATGCCAATCAGTAATCAAACTACCAAATGAATAGCTGATTAGCTGAGTAGCATCTCAATGATGCTAGGCAAAAATAAAATTTAAAGAAAAATGAAATTAAATGGTGGTGTTCCATAGATACATTATATTTACCATGCTCTTATTATGCTGGTTGTTTTGCACATGATGCAGCATTAGTATCTGAGCTTACTAGACAAAGGATGCAAAACTCAAAATGTAACCATCACATCATACTAGTTTCATTAGAGGGAGAGAGGATGAAGAGACCCAGGACTGCTATCTTCTGCAGCAGCCACACGTCTCCTATACACTGTTCCCTCTAAGCTGAGTTAGTGTGAGCTAGCTCACAGTTTTTTAGCCTCCGGCTCACACATTTTTGTTTCAGCTCAGGAAGGAGGGCTACAGAGCTAACCAATTTAATGCAGTAGTCAAATGGCTCGCTCACAACTTTAATGCCAGTAGCTCACAAAGTAGAATTTTTGCTCACATGACTCCACAGCTTAGAGGGAACATTGCTCCTATAATGTGTCATTTTGCCCTTAGAACTGTGATAATACATTTTTTGAAAAGTCCAGGCTACAAGAATTCTCTGTCCCACTGAACATAATCAATGGGCTTTGTCTCTTCCCCAGAAATCACCTACGCATGGACCTTAAGTAGCACTGGAATCCAGCAGCACATGGCTCAGCATAGACAAACATCTAAAATGAACTGATGATGTCAAAATGCACAATGGACTGTCTTTCTCACTCATAGTCACCATCGTTTGTCGTGATATCAAAAATGGGAAAACTATGGTTGCTGTAGATGTAGTTTGCATCCAAAACAGTACTGGAAACCATAGTTAGAACCCAAAAATATCAGAGGGAAGTGGTGGAGCACTGGGAGAATCTAGCCAGACCAGGGTTTGGCAATGAGTTCTGGATAGAGATTCAGTGTACAATGTGTTTGAAGCATGGGTTTCCTGATTATGTGGATAATTTTTCGATCAGTGTTCTATGAAAGGTGGAAAACTGTCTTCTGTCATTATACCTAGAGGAGTTCAGGACTCCAGGTGTTGAAACACCGCCACCTGTACCTTGATTTAGGGTCAGAAGAAGGCACACATTTCCAGGGAACTTGGTGCCTACTGTGTATTTCTGCTGAATGTGTCCCTGTGGAAAATGTAGTCCTAAAGTTATGCGTCATAAAGCCACTGCCAGCCTTTGCCAAGTGCAGGTGTTATTTTCCTGAGCAATCACTTCGGTCCCATGCAATGTATAAAATTCATCTCTTTGAGGTGATAAGGCAAAATGAATCTATGATTTCTTTTTTAAACCTCCCCTTGCAGCATATATTGTTACTGCAGGCAGGTTATCATTAAGGGGGCTGGTGTCAAAAAAAGCCCCTCTGTCATTAAATGCTGTTTTTGGTGTTGCGCTCTTTGCTTGATGATGTAATGCACTTAGCAATAATGGATTATTTTCTCAGAGGGATTCCAAGTTTATTGTCTGCCTTTCTTTTGAAAGGTATAACTTTGTCGGTTTGTGGTCAGAGCCTGACATGGAGTTGAAATGAACACAAACTCAGGGTCCTTTGCGCTGTACAACTGGCGGGTGGGGAGACAAAAGGTTTTCATCTTTCCATTTATCACCAAGACATTAAAGTCTGGGGAGAAAAATAAAGCAAGGGAAGAATGCTTTTAAAGATGTAGCTAGAGGTGCAATTTCTCAACTCTACATAATTTTAAAATCTTCCCATCCCCTGCCAATAGCAGGAGGCTTTTTTTCAAAAGGGGAAAGAAATCCTCATTTCAAAGAGAATCAATAAGACAGTGTTGCGCGTTGAGGATCCTGCTGCATTGTTATTAACGATCCCTGCTTTCCCCTTTGTGTTAAAATTTGTAACAAGAAATGGTGCTACTAAAGTCTTGCTGAATTTTAATGACTTAAGATGTTGGTGGCTTGTTATTTTTTTTCTCCCTGGCATTCACTCTTAGCAGCCCTGCCTTTATGAAATTGTTTTCTAATCTTTTTTCCTAGATGGAAATCCTGTATGAATGTGGAAGCCATTAGGAGAGTAATTGCTGTCTGTTACCATGACAACCAGCCGCTGCAGTCACCTGCCCGAAGTCTTACCAGACTGCACCAGCTCGGCTGCTCCTATGGTAAAGACCGTGGAGGACTGTAGCAGCCTTGTGAATGGACAGCCGCAGTATGTCATGCAAGTTTCAGCCAAGGACGGGCAGCTGCTGTCAACGGTAGTACGGACGCTTGCTACACAGAGGTACAGTAGTACCAAGCCAAACCAATGTCCTGTTGGTCATTAAACTACATTGGGAAGAAAGTGAAGGGAAAGGAGGGGGCTGTAATTACCGGATTTGTGTCTCTAGTAAGACTTTGGCTTTATTTTTGAAAACAGGCTAAGTTGTATCTGTTTCAGTAGCAACTAGACTAGAAGCTGCTATTCTGCATGTTCACTTTTTTTTTTTTGTATTCTAGGGCACATTTATCCATCAGGTTGCAAGGTCTGCTCGCTCCTCTGAGTTTATGATTAAATTGTTATGCTCATCATAACTTTATAATTAACACTTATAATTAAACTCATTCAGCTTTCCAGCATTATTCACAAAAGGTGGGGGCAGAACTGTTGGGAGATGCAGGTGGCAAAGTGAATAAGTCGCAGTAAATCCTCCTGATGTGTAAAAGAAAACTTCAGGAATGACATTTTGCTGAGTTATGTGTGCTGCTTCTTATCGAGAGCAGTCATTTCACTGAGGCAGTTTGTTATCTCAGACTTCCTCTGTCTATTCTGTGTGGAAAGAATTGTGGACTATTCTCCATCCATTCATGGACTGGCATTTGTACTTCCAGGGCACATTTATCACTGCTGGACCGTCCCCCACTGTCAGCAGAATAGCCTAACCCACAGCATGGGCAGAATCTGCATCGGAAATCAGCCAGTAGAAGTACCCAAGGACTGAAAGATTTTTTTTGTCAGCCAATTTATAATTTTATTTTTAAAAAACCCTACATGGGTTTGACGGTAGGGTTTTTTTGTCTGTTTGTTTTGCAGAAGGTACATCAAGCTGTCTTATATTGAGCTGGTACCTTTATACAAAGTTATGAAAAGTCATATTTGATTCTCACATTTTTACATTCACACTTTTAATTTTAAAAATAAAGTAATTTTTAAAATAGAGATTTTTTGGGTGGGGATTTTTAAAAAATCCAGGTTGTATCCTGTCCCCCCCCCTCCCCCGGGTTTAGTACAGCATACATAGGACTCATTTTGTCCTTACACCAACCACTCTGAGAATGAGTGTCTTGACCAAGTCTACCCAGGGAGATACTTGGGTGAGAAAGAATTTGACTCCCCCCACCCGCAACATTGTAGCTGCTTCACCACATGGGCTCCAATTGCAAATTAAGAGAGGCTGTACAGGATCAAATTGCTATGGGATTGTAAATTGATGTAAGTGTTGAAACATCCAGTTGATTTATGAATAATTCTGCTTTACAACACTCACAGAGCAGTATCTGATCTACTGTGGTGTTTTAAGGCACAAAATAAATATGCATGCTAGAATAGTAATGTGAAAATACATACTAAGCTGCACACATCCCTGTTTAACAATGTTACTGGGTTCCAGCTATTCAAAATTGAGTCTTTCTAACTTGCTAAGAAACAGTGGGTTGGGGGGGGGGGAAATGAAACTGTCCAGGCATTGGTTGCAGTGTATTTACATTTTTGTGAATTAAATGTTTCACCTTAAAGCTGGATTGAAAGGTTTATAGCAAAAGCCTGATAGAAAAGCCCCAGACCTGTTCTCCGTCCCACACAGTATTCTCAAAAGCTGGAAGAAAAGGCTGGTAAAGATGTTCACCTGAGACTTTGGAAAACTGTTTTCAGCCTGAATAGACAGCAGTGACTCAGGTCAACCAATGGCTTAATGTGGTAAAAGGCAGTTTCATTATGTTTGTATTGTATGTGACAGATCTCCTAAAACCACTTTATTCCCTTTTATAGATTTGAGGGGAATCTGTTCTTAATTTTGTTGTTGTTGTTCATTGTTACATAAGTTTATGCAGGGCTCTTTTTGTAGAAAAAGCCCAGCAGGAACTCATTAGCATAATAGGTCACACCCAACAGCATAAACTCGTTAGCATAAAAGGCCACACACCCCAACAGCACAGTTAATTAGCATATTAGGCCACACCCCCATGTCTTCCCTTGACTTGCCCAGTTGCCTCACGGCTGTGGGATGCCTGGCAAGCTGGCCCTTAAATGTCTCCCCGATCCTTCCAGCCCCCCCCCCCCCCCCGCTCAGAGTCGCGGGGGGGGGGGTTGCTCTCCAGGCCTTCACTCTGTAGCCACGAGCACAAACGTTTTAGCTGTGGTGGGCGTGGCCAACTCTGAAGCCAGCCGGAACGCCGTTACTGTGCGTTCCTGCCCAAAAATAGCCCCGAGTTTATGGAGCAGGAGAGACAGCCGAACACCTACAAAAAATTTGAAAAGTCAAAGCTGTGGTGGGCTTTCATTCTGTGCTGGTGGGCTTTCATTCTGTGGATCCCAGCAATGGGAACCCTTCCTTAGAAAAACAGACACTGCTTTCTTCAAAGGCAGCACAATCCCGATCCTTGCTGCTCACCAAACAAAAAAGCAAGAGGTGACACACATGGGCACAGCAAAACTGAGGAGGGACACGGAATACAGCTAAGGTTGCTAACCTCCAGGCAGGGCTTGGAGATCTCCCAGTATTACAAAATGGTTGCTTTGGAGGGGGTGGGCTCTATAGCACTGTACTCCACTAAAGTCCCTCCCTTCCCCAAACACCGCCCTCCCCAGGCTTCAACCCCAAATCTCCAGGAATGTACCCAGCCTATGTTTGTCAACCCTAAATACAGCAGATGTTGATGGAATGATAATACTGAACTGTTTCTGCTTTGAAGAGAGGACGGCACAAACAGAAGTTGGATCCACGTGGAAAAAGAAAGATGGCCACTATGGTACCATATGGAGAGAAGCAGTGGAAAGAAAGCTCGGGATCAGAACTCAGTGGAGACAATGTGGCACCCAATTTTTTTTAATAAAACAAATACATTTCTACTATTAACAGAAATGAGACTTGCTCTGGAGAACTGACGCATTTCTGTTTCAATCTCGATCTGACACCTGACTGGAAACCAAATAATTTCATTGTGCTGTGTCTATGTATCTACATCAGTAATATTTGATACTAATAGATAAACGTTTCCATTTCAAACTTAGGCTCCAGCTTTGGTTATGTTTGTTCCTGAGGAATAAATTCAAATGATATCAAACATGAAGTACAATAATTAAAATTGATTGCAGGAATGAAAAACAGGTTGAAAAGCTTGGCCTGTTTAACCTAGCAAAAGGGAGGAAGGGGACTGAGAGACCATATAATTGCACACTATAAATACGCTAGAAAGGGCAGAATGATTTCAGCTGAGAAAACTATGGGTATAAAAAGCAATGGCCATAAAAGGTCTATTAAAAATTTAGGCTGAAGATCACAAGATGATTTCTAAGGAACAGTGGTACAAAATTCTGAAAGACTCTTTAGAATAGTCATAGGAACAAAGAACTGCATTAGTCTGAAAACAGGGCACAATACATTTAGGAAGCGTTTCATTTTAATAAATGGGATATCTGGAGTGCCAGTAGTGGTTGCTAAGGGTTCACTGAAATCCAAAAGCCTTCCCTTTCTTCCCTTTTGTCCTGAAAGACAGCTTGGCCCAGGCTACAGATTGCACTCCAATGTTTAGCTCCTCCAGAGGAGGGGGAATGGTGGTGTATCATTTACATCCAGTGGGGGTAGCCAATACAATTTTTTCGTGTTTAGTTAACTCTCTTTTAAAACCTTTATTTGATTTTATTAAATTAGTTGTTGAAATGAACAAAGTTTGTTTTCATTATCCAATTCAGTCTTCATTTCCAATGGTTTCAATAAGAAAAATGTGGTTGAACTGCAACTCCTCCCGATCCGATCCAGTTGGGATGACACTGTCAAGCACTGTACCCCTCAACCACAGGAGCCTCTCTGACAAATTTCAAGAAGATAGGAGAACATATCTCTGTTCTATAGAAACTAAAATGCTAATTCCCCAAACAGGCACAAGAAGTGTTTGGCAACCTGTGAAAGCAGGTAGTGAGCATAACTAATCAATAGGGGGATCCTTGTGTATTTGCCCAAGTCCACTGTTCATGTGGGAGTGAGGGTCTCTCTTTAAATGAAGCGAAACACGTTAACAGATCAGCCTGGCCACCCTACACCTTATCTCACTGTGCTCTGGAGCCTGAAGTGTTTGATACCCACAGTGAGACTGGCTGTGAAAAAAATGATTCAAGCACCAGAGCAAAGTGAGGAACACAAAGGGTGTTTTAGGGATTTGTTCTTCTCACCTGTGTGCTCTTTTTGTTTAAAAATAGACCTTTCTTTCTCTGATTTCTTTACATATGAATATTCAAACTCATATAATTGTACATCCCCCATCACATTTAAGTTAGCACTTGGGTTTTTTAAAAACACTTTTAAAGATGTACCCTGTCTTTCCTCCCTACCTGGTATAATCACAGCTTTGGGAAGGGGCAGTATTTATAGGGGTTGGGAGAAGGACTAATTGTTCCCCATTGCATCTCTGTAGTTGTTTATAGGGAAAATTAAATATGTCAAGAGATCTCTAATCCTAATCACTGATCTCTTGTGCATCTTCTGGTTTGGGTTGGTCAGTGTAACTCTGTGTCATTGATTTCAGTGCAGACGCATTATTGATAATAGACTGTATGGCAGATATTGCCTGCATCAGGGTATTTGTAGTGTACCATTTGTCTCTGCTTCCTGCCTGGTGTGAGTACTGCTTGCCTGATAGACAGCATGTGCAAGCAAAGCAGTTACTGCAATGCTTAGCAAATGCAGCTAGCCGGAGAGAGAAAGGAAGAGGAGAGCAGCAAGTAAACAGGAGCCACTGCTTGTTTAAAATCAAAGCGCTCCTGAAGCCAGTGAGCCAAGAATATGCTTGGTGTAAACAAAGTTATCAGAACATATTTTTCCATGGCAAGATCTGTGTCTGTCATTGCTGACTGGAAAATGTCCTTGTCAATTTAATATCTGCTAAGTCACTTTTCTGGATTAGTCACTCAGTCTCTTAACCACACACTAGGCCATTTCTCAGTGGAGAGACCAGTTCAAACATTGCATAAAACCATACTTCAGTTAAACATACTATGGTTAGTGTGATAGTCTGAATGCATACCATCCCACTGACTTTCGTAAGTTAAGGTCAGTCAAATCAGGGTCTCAATGTACTAACCAGAGTCAATAAATTATAGTCTTCACTATGGTTTCATGTGGTACAGGAATATAGACATTCTGGCTAAATCATTGGTTGAGGCAAATTTGAGTGATTGGCTGAATTGGTTTCACAAACTAACCATAGTTAAAATAAATCATATTTTTTTGTTATGGACGATAACCCTCTGTGTGATACAGGCATAAGATTCAAGAGAAAAGTGAAGCAAGATGCCAGCAAAAAATGCTTTACAACAGCAGGTTTGACCAGATAATCTTCAGATTTCTTCCACCCTGTGACTAACTTTCAGCCTCTCCATTTTCTCTTGCAGTCCTTTCAATGATAGACCAATGTGCAGGATTTGCCACGAAGGCAGCAGTCAAGAGGACTTGCTTTCGCCCTGTGAATGTACAGGGACCCTGGGAACTATTCACCGCAGCTGCTTGGAGCACTGGCTGTCATCCTCGAATACCACTTACTGTGAACTCTGCCACTTCAGGTTTTCAGTAGAGCGCAAACCCAGGCCGTTGGTTGAGGTCAGTAAATGGGGCATGTCCTCAAAAGCTTTGCTTTAATGATGTATGTTTTTACACCCGAATCATAACAGCTTTGCAGATTCAATGAAGCAAAAGAAAAGCTATGAGTTTGGGAAGCAGGGAAGGGGTAAAAGAAGGGCAGAAAGAGGGCAGAACTAATTAAAACCTTCATATTTCAACCCCAGACATAAGTGATAAGAGTGGAACTGATGGCTTTGTTTTTCTGTATTCCTGTGTATATTCATTGGTGCCTTCAGCCGAGAATGTTTAGTTTACATACTGCATCCTTTGCTTTAATTCAGACATAGTCAACACAAATCTATTGAACATTAGGAGGAATTTATTGCTCGGGATTACAAATACAGGTTAAAATTTAATTTTTAAAAATTTGGCTACTCGGCCCATTGCTGTATTATAGTTTTAATAATTGTTGTTTATTTGCCAAATGCTGGTAGTAAACCACTCCCCCCTAGTTGCTTATATTTTGAATACTGCAGACTGGGGTGCCATTGTTCTCATTTAATTGGATGTAATGGGAGAGAGTAAGATGCTTTCTAATGTGTCTTTTGAAATGTATTACAGGTCACTTAAAAAAATAAAAGTGAAGCAGTGATGATGATACTGCAGAATAAGATCTTTTTCTATGAGATATAAAGAGTTAATTGAAAACATGACAGTATAAAAATAACATTCATCATTCACTTGGTAGGCATCAAATGTCTTATTATAGAAAGTTGCTATCCTTATGTGAAACCATGCTGACATTCATTTCTTTCCAACAATGATGCATTTTTTAAATCTGGTTACAAAAAGTGGAATATTTTTTTCTGTTCTCTGTCTCTGCTGCAATACTAACTAGGTCAGAGGGTCATAAATTAACTCTTCCAAAAGTACTACCCCCCCCCTTCATTGCTGTCAGAATCATATTTTATATCCTGCAGTAGGATCATCAATAAAGGCTGTAATCCTACTTAAATTGATAGGATTTAATCTAGGGTATACCTATTGTTGCAGCCAAATGACCCATCCAGCAATTGCTATGGGTACAGAGGCTCCAGTGCATTCTCCTGCCTATGCAGCCTATGCCTATGCATATTCACCTCACTGGAAATGGAAACTTTATGAGTTCGTCACTTTGTGCATATGAAATGAACTCTGCTGTCCAGTAAAGTGAATGGATTGACTTGTATGTGGAGGAGATTTATATATACCTAAAACATGTTGGGATTATGGGAAATATCCTTAAGTGGCAGGAAATGTGGATTTTCTAATCACAACTAGCATATTAGTTGTGCAGATCCTATTTTTGATTGTTAAATGAACAATGATTAACAGTAGAACTTCCATCAGTAAACTATATGCTTGGGCAACAGCCAATAAACATATTGTTCCCTCTCAGTCTAAATCTATCCTGAGCCTATTAGACTTGTGTGTTTCTTTCATTATTAGTTACAATAATTATGAAATTGGGATGTTTTGTAATTATTGTAATTAATGCAAAAATTACATACATGTGTGAGGTATTTCCATCCTGAAGGATAGGGAATGGGACTTTGCCTTCCTCTTTCCTCCCAATGCTTGCCCTGCTATCCCAAATATTTTCTTGCAGTCTGCACTCTCCTCTTTGCCTGTTGCTCTCCAAACTTTAAACCCCATCAAAGTAAATCTACCTCAAGGTTCTCCTCCAGCTGCTGTTAGCCAAATTGCCTTGATTTATAATTGTGGGGAATATGAATATTAAAAGGCAATAGGCATTAAATATAGGATCAGACCCGTTGTATACTGGAGTCCCACTTATCCAAATCCCAGAAATAGACGCTGAGACTAGATCTTAAAAAGTAGTGATTTCTTTTACTAAAGGATTATCACATACAAACATAAAATCAAGCATTCACACAAACAATATAGAACTGAGAAAGCAGAGGTGATTGATAGCTGATAGAGGGGTCAGTTATGGGGTGATACTACCTGTCCAGACGTGCAGAGGTCCATGAAGAAAGGATTATGGCTCAAACCCAGAGATTTGAGGGTGAACTGCCAGTTGGCATCAGGGCAGAGGCACACGGTCTGAGGCCATGTGCCTGAACGGTTATAGACACTGGAAAACAAGGCAGATCAATGGGAGGCCTTGGGGGCTGGTCTCAGGTGAGAACAACAGATTACCTGGACCAATGATGAGTCCCAGGGGTGTGTGGCATCAGGATGGGCAAGGCCTGGATGTGACCAGTGAGCTTCCAGAGGGGCAGAATCTAGCTATCATGAGACTGACAATATTTTGATTGGGTTTAGCTAGGTGTTGGATGACTGTACTTGGGCTAGTTGAATGGATTTTATGACCATTGATGGTTCTGCCAAGGCAGTTGAATAGGTTCCCAGATACAGACAAAAGATGAGAGATGGGTCCTTGATTAGATTGCTAAACATTTGAATGATTGATTGGTTTATCTCGGCATCCTGAGGAATGGAGCAAGGAAGACAAGTATTGAGACAAAGAATTACTGGAGACAGGGCTATTTGCCAGGTGGCCTCTGAATAGCCTTTAGAAATGTAGATGTTTTACCTGGTGAAACTGCCATTGTTATTCCATAAGCATATCTCTGCTGGGTGGAGGGGGAAGACTGGAAGTTTCTCTGAGGGTTGCCTTGTTGCCACCTAAATATGAAATCCCTTTTTGCAGAGTACTTGCAGGCTGACTCTGTGGTTCAAGCTGAGAGTGCTTGACTTTTGGGGACTTTGGTTCAGGTTAGAAAGTGGAGTGCCCCTGCTTTGGGGCTACCCAAGAGTAAAGGCAGTGCCTCTGGCAACACTGCCTGGCTGTTCAGGTGCCTTACCCTCCTTGTGCCAACAAATCTCCTTGCTTATCAGTCTGCGTATTCCTTATACTACTGATCTTCAAGCTAAGTGGCTGCAGTGTCATCTGTATTACTGTTGGGAATCTTTCCTATCAATTCTCCCAAAGATTTTAATGCTAAACATTCTCCAAAAGTCGGGCCCTTTATTCTGTGTGTCTGAAATTTTGCAGCATTCTAGGGGTATCCTCAGGGAATACTACAATCCCTCTGAGTTTTGTCCAGCTTGAATGAAAAACTGCAAGGGTACAGATCCAAGAAAAGGGGGTGAGGTCTTCCATTGAAATCAGTGGGCAATAATAATGAGAGAATAATGAAAATGAAACAAAATAAAAAAGGAAAATGACAAACATGAAAATGAAACAAAGATAACAAAAGAAACAATAACAAAACCAAACTATACAAAATGAACTCCCATGCACAGATTTAGAGCCTACCAAAAGGATAGAAATATCCTGATTTGGTGTGTTATGGCACCTTAATGGCTAACACATTTATTGTGGCATGACTTTCAGATCGGAGTGATTCATTAGATTGCATATCAAGTTTATGGCATCACAAATGTGCCTTCTAAATCCAAAGCAAAACTCAGTCACTTTTAATTATCAGTAAATATGACTTCTGCAGGGAAAAGTATAAACCTACCAAGATAAATAAATGGTCACAAGATTGTGCTGAGTAAATAAATAGATTTTAAGGCTCAATCTATTTCAATTTCACCCTTGGGACTGGCTGTTCTCAAAAAAAGTTCTTTGAACAAATGGAATGTGACATTTCTTCAGAATTAATAGTGGCTGGGCAAGTTGAAAGTGAAAAGTTAACCCTTCCAGAGTATGGAAGCTTTGCTTTTAGAACATTCCATAGTGAAATAAAGTATTCCTTTGTTTATAAAGTGGGGTAATAAATATGTCATGTCTGCTTGGTCAACTGAGGTGCAAATGAGAACAAATTTTGCACTACTACCCACTAATATTAGGAGGGATAGCTAGGAAGCTACCAATTAAACATTGGTGGGTAGTAGTGCAAAATTTGTTCTCTATTAACTATGAAGACAGGATGTATTTTGGGTTTAAACCTCAAGTTTGTTTTCACAAACCTTAACTTCCAGACAAAACTTATTAGGAGGAATAGCTAGGAAGCTAACAATTAAACAAGTTTTGTCTGGAAGTTAAGGTTTGTGAAAACAAACTTGAGGTTTAAACCCAAAATACATCCTGTCTCCATAGTTAAAAGAGACAGATGCAAATGGAAGATACTGATCTGTTCCCCCTAGGGTTGCCAGGTCCTTCCTCGTCCCCAGTGGGGGACTTTGGGAGGCATTTCTGGAGGAGGCAGGCCACAGGGACATCCCAAACACGAGGAGTTTATGCAAAAGTGACATCATCATGTTGGGAACCAGCGCCCTGGCGCCTGAACTCCAAGTGGAGAATTCGCTGCTTGGAATTCAGGCATGTGGCCAGCAGATGTCACCCCTCTCCCTCCCCTCCTGCAAGATTTAAAGGCCCCTCTAACTGGTCAGCAGGCCATGTGCTCCCACTGATCTGCTGGACTGCCCTTTAAATCTTGCAGGAGGGGAGGGAGGGGGTGGCCGCTGGTGGTCACTGTTGGGATCAGGGTTAGGGGCAGGACTTCCCCAGCTGGCCAGTGGTGGGCAGGAGCCTGCCAATTCAGAGGATCCCCCCCCCCCAGGACTGGCATCCCTAGCCCCCCCCCATTTCCATATTGGAAATTGTTCTGTTTTCTTAACAATTTAAGAGACCTGTAACTGAAGTTTCACACCACTCCTTTTGTAGGGAAGCCAGCCTCCAAGTGGGACCTGGGGATCCCCCAGAATTACAGTTTATCTCCAGGCAATGGAGATCAGTTCCCCTGGAGAAAATGAATGCTTTGGAGGTTGGACTCTATGGCATTGTACCCCACTGAGGTCCTTGTTCTCCCTAGGCTTCATCCTCAAATCTCCAGGAGTTTCTCAACCTGGATCTGGCAACCCTGCCTCCCCTTCTCTCGCTGGTGGCGTGGGGGGCGGGGGCTGGCAACCCTGTTCCCCAGAATTCTCTTACCTCTGCACTGGTGAATTCTATTATAGCTTATACTGATGCTGACATTTGAAAGTAAATCCATTTTTTTCTGGCAAAGCTTTTAATTATTAGA